GGGGCTGGCCCTGCCTCTCCTTTTCCTTTGTGGAAGCTTAGATTATGCTGCGGGACGCCTGGGCCCTCTCTTCCCATCTCCTCTACCTTTGCCCTTTGCACACAAAGGGGCTTTGTCAGGGTTGTCTGGCTCATATTGTGCTTCTGTTTGCAAAGTCAGTGTAACTTGAGAGCAGTCATGCAGGAGGATCCAGGTTCCAGCCTCCGGTGCTCGCTGCCTGGCCCCCTCCTCCGGGAGAGAGACCCTGGCTGTGGCTTCGCCCCTGCCTTCTGGGCTGTGGTGTGAAGGAGCTGTCTCCTGCCTTGCCGGTCTGGCAGAGCTGGGATGGGATGGGATGGGGGAGATTCACCTGCATTAGCACTCTTGGGGGGGGGGTGAAGAGAGGCAGGCAGACTCCTTTTAAAAATAAAGGTTCCTAAAGCAGTGCTGGGGCGGTGGTGGATGTTGTGAGGATGCAATGCTCTCGGGAGGAGGGCGGTTTTGTTTTGCTCCTGGTGAAAAGTGGCCAAGCTCAACTCACCATGGTACTGCCCAGCATGGCTCACCGCTGGTACGCGCTGGGCTCGGAGATCCAGCTGTGCCTGGACGATTCCCTCCGTGGCGCTTGGCCCTTTACCACTACGAAGCCATGGAGGCAGGACTCTGCACCGGCCGGCAGGTGACAGCCCCAGAAGGGCCATCCCAGGCAGCGCGCAGTTTGGCAAAGGCAATCCTGCATGTTGCTGGGAGCAAGGAGACCTGCCTGTGCATGGCTCTCATCCTCTGCAGCTGCTCGGTGCCACAAGCAACCCCCAAAGACCATTGGGGGAGCTGTGGCTGGGCCCAAGGTAGGGTTGAGGAAGGGAGAATTTTTTCTCAAGAGCTGCAGTTTGTCCCTTTGTTCCTGGCTGGAAAACCAGCAACAGGGAGCACCAGGCTGGCCCCGGTGAGAGCCTGTTGCTGTGGGCACACAACGGCACAGTTGCCGTTGGAGGGATCCTGGTTTGTCAAACCACTTTAAAGATGTGGCAGGGCCTCCCGCAGACAAGGGCTCGGCTGCAGAAACTCCCTGTGGTAGAAAAGCCTGGCAAAGGGGAAGAGGAACTGCTGCAACGGTTCTCTAGAAGCTGGCTGGCTCTCGATGAGACCTTGCTTACGGTGGCCCTTGTGCTGCGGCTGTGGGATGCTGCGCGTTTCCCTCCTGTGCAAGGGAAGTGGATTCTGGCAGCTGCCGCTCATGTGAGCGGAGGGAGCCCGGCCTCAAATGAGAGCTGGCGGGGGCCGCCGCCGGGGGTTTTCACCCAGGCGGCCT